TAACTTCCTTCCCAGCGATAGGAAAATGTGGCCCTTATGGTCTCTTGCAACTGCCCCGCCCAATGCTTCACCCAAGTCCGCAAGGAAAGCCGCGTCCGTGTTTAACTTGACGCCACCTGGTGTGGTGCCTCTCCATACCCTGGTTTCAGAAGTGGTCGGCATACAGGGTTTGGTTGGGAATAGACCCCTTCTGCATTTGTCTCCTTCGCTTCAGGGATTTTCTGCTGCCATCTGTATCTCATCATGTATCCGCAATAAGGCTTGCGCCGCACCTGACACCGCGTCTTTCCCGTCACCGTGAATCGCATTGCTTCTAAGGCTCCAAGCTTGCCACAGAATTAGCATTAGCTTGGTCCCAGTTTCTTCTCCCTGAGATAGTAGCAACAGCTGTAACCAGTCCTCTCATGTGTATGTGAGGACAGATTCCTTTGGCAGCTGCCAGTAGGATCTCATTTCTTGCCGTAGGGATGAACTTCTGGTACATGCGATAACGGCGTGGTGCTCATCCTCATTCCCTCTCCCGCAGATCTCACACACACTATCCTCAGCCACCGTTCTCCTGAACGCATTATGTTTTGTCGCGAGCGAGTTTGTGGCAACTCTCCATCCGAGAATCTTGACCTTCTCGGGTATCTTCGCCTTCCAGATTGCGTCCCATATGCTACGATCCCCTGGAGCCCGTGATGAACTAGTTGCCCTGTCTGCGCCATTTGTTTTTAGGGAGTGAGCAAGCTTGTAGGCGCTCGTGACCGTAAATATACCTGTTTTCTCATAATGCCAGGCAACGCAATCCTCAACCTCAGTCCGTGGAATTTTCAGCTTGCATATCTCCTCTGCACCAAACGGTTGGAAGATTTGCCTCACTAGTGCAACGTTCCATTCCTTAACTTGTGCGTCAATCAGCTGGTTCACCCATCTTAGTCTGGATCTCCTTATGAACGATGCCACCTTCAGCCCTCCTCTCTTGGAATCCACTGGTCTCTAGTGATCTGGATGCTTCTACTATTGCCAACTCGCCAAATGAGGCCCTTCTTTAGAAGTTCCAGCCCAAACTCAATACCTCTCCATGCCGGGGATGCATCCGAAGAGAAGACGGTGTCAAGGAGATTCCCGTTAGGGTAGTATTTCGACTTCAGTACCCTAGCACAAAGAGTATCAGGCTTAAGAAGCAATCTCCAACCTTGCCTTGCAAGAAGAGCCTGATTAAACAGGCTAAATATGGTTTTTCTGAATCGTTTTTTTTGACCGGTCAATGACGAGGGCGTCCATCCAGACATATGAGGGGGTCCGAGTGCTCTAATTAAGCTAGCTATCTAGTGTGCCTTGTGTAGGGCACGGATCCGCATTATCGATGCACCCTGGTTCCGTGGCCCGTGGAGATCATGGTGGCCGACGATCGGACAGCTCACACTTGCCGACAAGCTCAGTGGAATGGGCACGCCCATCTTTCGCCTCTCGTTCTGATCCACCGCCTCGTGGATGACGGGTCGACACGGGAGAAGGAAGATGAACATAAAGAGCCCCAAGAAGAGGAAGCGTCATGTCGGTCAGCCCGGCCGAGCACACGATGGATCACACATGGCTGGCACGTGCTCTCTCTGCAACTGCGTATCGTATCGTACCGTCGTGCCAACCGATGGACCGGGTCTCATAATTCCACAACATTTTCCATTTCTTCCGGAAACGTCTGTGCAATGGAGCCTAGCTTGAAATAGTTGTGGTTATCATCGCTGTCACCTGCCCGAGGCTGCCAAATAAGTCGAGCTAAACGGCGGAATCTCTGCCTGTTACTTCACGATTTGGCACGTTCCACGGCGAAAGCAACCGGCGCTGGATTCCACAAGTATCAGCATCAGTGACTCTGCTGGATGATCATAACTGGGTCTGGATAAACATAATCATAATGGCTCCATATAATTAAAGTCGAAATGCCACGCACACGAACGCGATGGAATTGTTTGCTTCCATGCAGTGTGTCTGGCACGTACTGTGGGCGCGATTTTCTGAACATCTTTCACGAGGCTGTTACTCAGGAGTCTTCAACTGCTCAGTCCACTGGCAGAAACGCTCTCCTGATGCCACCGGCAACCATGGATTCAGACCTCGAGAACTGCATGGTCACAACTCATAAGCACGTACACCAAAACTGCCGCACGTATCCAAGGCCACAAGTCCACCGCACCGTCAAGGATCGAATGCGCCGCACCCCTGCTCCCGTCTCTGCAATTCGAATTTCAAACCATGGATGCCGATGATCGCCTTCTGTTGGTGCATGCATGCATGTTGGGCGCCGCGGAGGAGGATGTAGAAAGACCGACGCCGGCGCTCCAGATGTCCGCCTCAGGGCCGTAGCTACCACGAGGCATCTCCGGCGCCGTGAGCTACGGGCTGCCCAGTCACCTGCAAATTTTGCCAGTTAACCGTTGATTAACATCGTATAATATCATTAGCTTGCAAAATTATTATTGCCTTCAAAATAATGAGGTCAACCTGGGATTGGGGATAACACCCCGTGATTAATGCAATGCACACATCAAGGTCAGGCGAATGAAGAAATAGTTCGTCATCTTCCCAGCAAAATGCACCAATTCTCCATATAGCTCAATAAGGTTGCCAGAATCTATGATCTGTAGGACAGGTATTGCCTGATACCAAAGAGAGAATGCAAACCAGATCCTCATACAAGTAATCACAAATGCTATGAGCCAGACTCATAAAATCATTGCAGAAAGCGTTCTGTATGACACCATGTTCTAGCCTGATAGCACAATACAGACATGCTAATGCACCCAAACGTACGAAAGCATGGTTCGAAACCTGAAGTTTCAATTTTAAGAGTATGCTTAACGCCAAATTATGTGAGCTCTAACAATTATTACAGGAAAATAATTCCCCTGCGCATAAGCTCCATTAAGAAGTGTGAATCAACCAGAGTGATATGAACCTACATCCCTGAACTTTAACTTCGGACAGTACATTCCCAATCTTAGCTAGGTGATAATATTTTTATCTAAAAGTAAGCATCTCTGAAACATCAAATATGCAGCTTTGATGTATGTTTCATCGATCCTAAATTTAGTGAGCTTCAATATTCACACCTGGTTAACTTTTCAAAACTTCAGCACTAACCAGGAAAACAAATTGAAGGTGTCATTCTACTGCCCGTTGAGATGTACAATGGTGTTCAGTTCGCTGATCCATTTCAGGATACCCAAGAAAATCATCGATAAAGGCAGTATCCGCACTTTGCCAACTAAATCCCTGTTCTCAGGAGAAAGATGAAATGTTCGAAGTCTATTGCTATCATAGCCAAAACAACCCTCTCTCTTTAATCTTCATTGACAATGACAAGGCAATTTCATTATCAGAGGGTTTCACAAGAAACCACGCAAAACATGATGTTTCCTGTATCCTTGAATGTAACATTCTGGAGAGGGCTGTCAGGTTTAATCAGGGATGAGGCAGGCCATTCGGCTCGTGCAGGTGCTCTGCAGTTGCGTGTTCTAATCCCAGTTGATTGGGATGCGCACTAATCTTTCTCCCTCCCTCTCTTTTTCTACCTTCTCAATACATCGAGACGGAAGCCTTTTGCGTTTTCTCTAAAGGAAAACATCCTGGCGAAGGTGCATATACACATCACAATGAGATATGTTCATGAAAAAACCGTTGGAGCTATTGCATGTTTACCTTTGCTAAGTCCAATCAAGCAAGCATTTTTTTTGTTTTGTTTTGCAAATTACCGTGCTGATTGATGCCAACCTAGCACATTAAAGTAGAACTGATGAGCACAAATGTCACTGAGAGATCAATTCAGAATTTGAGTTCACAAAGTGTACCTGGTACATGATTCGGCCGAACGAAGAGTGCTCTTTTATGTCCAGCGAACGGCGTCCTTACCCACGATGCCATCAAACAGGCGCCTTGCGTCGCCGACAGCCCCGCACATGGAGTAGGCGTCGACCAGCGCGGACCCGACAAAGGCGTTCCGGTCGTGGCCCAGCCTGCACGCGTAGGCGTGCACGGCCCAGGAGAGCCCCAGAGCGTCGTCCATGGCGACGACCAGCTTGAGCACGGAGGTGAGCATGAACTGGTTCACCTCGTGCCCCTCCCGCCGCAGCCTCCGGAACAGCGCCGCCGCGGCCTCGGACTCCCTGCGCAGCGCGTGGGCCTGGAGAAGCGTGACGAAGGACACCGTGTTCCGCTCCGGCAAGGCGTCGAACACCCTGCGCGCGCCGGCCAAGGGCCCGAGCTTGGCGTACAGGTTGATGAGGACGTTGGCGCAGAAGATGTCGAGGTCGAGGACGCCGCTACGCACGACGTGGCCGTGCACGGCGCGGCCTCCGCGGGCGTCGCCGCGCGCCAAGCAGCCCTGCAGCAGCCTGGCGCACGCGTGCGCGTCGACCCCGGGCACGGGCCTGGGTTCGGGGAGGACGAGCGAGGTGAGCTCGTCGTCGAGCCACTGCAGCGCCGCGCTGGCCGCGAGGGCGCGGCGGGGCGGGGGCGTGTGGTGAGGGACGGCCGGGAGGAGGCGGCTGCTCGCTCGCCGGATCATCGGCCGTGGCCGTCGAAAGCTGCGAATTTGCCGCTTGCCCCCGAATACGTATGTACGTACAGTAGTAAAATAAAAGTATACCCAGTTTTGTCGCTGTTATTACAGGCCAAATGCCACTCCACCCCTGAACCACTGAACCAGTGCCCCCGAGCTCTGTTCCTTCCTCCCCTGTTTATTTTCCATTCGATCGAGCGCAGCCAATGGCGAACTAGGGTTTCGGCCCCTCCGCCAACCAACGGCTCCGGCGAGCGACGGACGGGCTTAGCCAGGTTAGCCTCTCAACCACCTCCTTCTCGATTCGTGGGCAAAGGGAGCAGGGTTTCTCTTACTACTATTGTACTGTAAATGGGGAGAAATCAGTGGGGAAATGGCTTCCTTTTCTTGATTTCTGTGGTCGCTGTCCACCAGGCCGGAGCGGCGGCGGTTGCAAGAGCAGAGGAGCTGTGCCATGTGGTGGCGGCATTACCCCCGCAACCACGTCGGCGATGACAAGACGCAGTTTGTCGCCGTGGCTACGGGTGGTTTCAGGCACAGCATGGTCAGTTAACTTACTAACCCCTTCCTCGCATCAATCCACTTCCTCGCGAGAGCTCTCTCCTTATGCACAACTTGAAATGCCACTAAAATTATTTGTTACTTGTGAAATCATCCCCTTCCTGAGTAAAGGGGTGTGCTTTTTATTTGTTAGTATTACAGCATTTCATTCTTAACTGTGCTGTGCAATACTTGGCCCTTCCTACAACATTCGGTTGCCATTGGAAGAAAAGAGGGAAATGCGGTAGATTAGATCGTCATTGCTCGTGACTGCATTTGCTTCCCAGGCAACATTTTTTTTAATCCCAGCCTTGCTGGGCTAGGCTTGACATTTGGAAATGCGGAGCTAATCTAGCTTTCAGTATATTTTCCTTGAAAGAGCTGTTTCAGAACATTTTTTACCTTCGGAAAATTTGTTTCAGAACATATAAACGGGGTAGTAGGAGAACAGTGTTGGTGGAAAGCTCTTACGGAGATAATTAGTATATTATTACACTGCTGGTCTACTATCATTAGTGCTATTTCTAATTTGATACTAATTTGGTACTTTACTACACTGCTCGTCTACTACCATCATTATGCTATTTCTAAATTATAATAAGGTAATTCATGTCACTTAAGCGCATATTTTGCCCATAATGCGTGTTCCAAATATATGAGTTTTTGTTTTGTTTGTTTGCCATGCCCTTTTGTATTTCCTGAAAATAGCACGAAACTTAAGTTGTCACAGACAGTGAGCCTTGTAACTCAGTTTATCTTCCTTGTTCTTCAATAGTGCATACCGCAGGAGGTTGGAAATCATTTGGGGAGCATGATCTCGGAGACCATCAAACTAGAAGCTCCTAATGGCATATTCCATATTGGAGTGTGTAGAAGAAAGACGGGTGAGCTAGTTCTTCGGGCTGGCTGGGATAAGTTTGTCGCAATGCATCACATAGAAGAAAATTATTCTTTTTGGTTTGTGTACCGTGGGAACTCTACCTTTAAGGTTCATATATTCAATTCTAACGGTCGTGAGAAGGCTACTTTCTGTTCTAAACCACCTTCTGAGAGCTTTGGTGGTGTTCCACCTGCCGCAACTTGCCATCATCATGTGCTGAATGGTAAGATTGATTATAGTATTCTAAAGTCTAATACTACTTGTACCGTGCTTTTGTGGTGATTGTAGTAATAATGTACTTGATGTGCAGAACAAGTACCGTCTGTTTCTGGAAATGTTCAGACCTCAACTGACTCTGGCTATAGCATGTTACCTGGCTGCCATCTAGCACAAGATGAGAAAGTACGTGAACTAGCTTGTACAATGAGATCTCAAGTTCCCCTTTATGTGGCAGTCATGAACAAAAGCAATGTCAACTTGAAGAATTGCTCTGTTGTAAGTTGGATCTTTTCCCTAACCATTTCTTGGTTATGTTATTAACCCCACTAATAGGACCCATTCCTACTGCAACTGGTCAAGATTCCATCGTTGCAATAATGTCTTTTTATTTTGGGTTACTGCAGAACCTACCGTTAAAGCTTGTGGAACATTTCAAGGAGGACACATCTAAAGCTACTATTCAACTAGAAGCCCCTAATGACATGATATATGGTGTTGAAGCTTGCAAGCATGGTGATGATCAAATAGTCCTCCAATATGGGTGGAATAATCTTGTACTCCCTCTGTAAACTAATATAAGAGCATTTAGAACACTACTTTAGTGATCTAAACGCTCTTATATTAGTTTACAGAGGGAGTAGATGCTAATCGCATACAAGAGAATGACCTCCTTGTTTTTATAACCAAGGGTAAAAAACGCCTTGAAGTTCGTATTCTTGGCACAAGTGTTCATCAGAGAACCTCTTCATGCTTGGACACGAGAAATATTTCTAGTTCTCAAGAAATTCGTGAAGATTCACTTGAAATAACTGATCCACCCCCTCATACAGAATACTATGTGAGTAGTTCTGATGATGATCACATTATGGAAGAAGGATACTATGTGAGTAGTTCTGATGATGATCACATTGCGGAAGAAGACTATGTGAGTAGTTCTGATGATGATCACATTGTGGAAGAAGGCACTAGAAAATCATGTGTTCTGGGATGGGTTGGAGTCTAGCCTGCCTCTAGTTAGTGGTACTGTGTGATGCTCAGATGCATATTGTTAGTGGTTTCTTTCGTCCCCGGTCCTAGTTTGATCAGGTGTTCATTTCTAATCCGAATTGGCACCGGTATGAAAGAAAGACGAATCATGTGTTGTTGATTAAGGTTGCACCCTGAATAACATCTATATCTATATCTATATCAATATAAAAAGACCCAAAGGGACAGATCCAACTGATCTCGGCCATCAAAGTAAGTCAATCCAAGGACCTAGACTGCTCCAATGGCGAGTGTTTAATGTGTTTAACGCGCAATTAATATGATACCAAATATTGCACTAATCACATAAATAATGCACAAATAATAGAATGCCTAATGTCCGCGTGCAATTAATATATTGTCTAAATAATAACGTGCGTTGCACGTGCGCATTTACTATTTTTTAAAAATGGTTAACATGTAAAATAACATAATATCCAGATTATACACATTTTTCTAATCACATTTCATATATAACATGTTAAATTCGTGGTTAATGTTTAGAAAATATGGATATTCTTTAAAGCAATTTGATCTGTACCGCGGGTCGATTAACCCAAATGTCATAGGGTTTTCTGCAAAAACTAAAATCCGACTTAAAACTGGCCTACGGGTTGATGGGGTTTTTCTGCAAAGGTGAAAATCCGACTAAAATCTGAAATGTGGGTCGATTACTAGAAACATCATAGGATTTTTTTTGAAAAATATCATGATAAACCAATAATATTTATACCCTTTATTTTTTTGCGCAAAATATTTATATCCTTTATTTGAAGGTAAAGATCGGTATCCACATCACATAAGGGTTCAAGTCATAAACTTGGCATGATCGCATTTTTTTAATATTATTAATTTTTTGATATTATTAAAGTTCAAAAAATGTGTGCTTAATTTTTTTGGGAAAACATCATCACAAAGTAATCACTTGCGGTTCGCTCACTGATCATCATCATCTTTGGACTCGATTTTTGTGATTGCTATATAAAACATGGCATGCCATGCGGGGGTTGAGTCCATCGTGATTGTTTTAGAAATGGCCGATGTATATCCGATTCCGCTGTGTACTGCCGATAAACTTGTTTCATCGGGTCCCGGTCGGTCGGTCGGCCGGCAGGAAAGAAGATGGAAACGGAGAGTCCGAAGAAGAGGAATCGTCGCATCAGTCCGCCCGAGCACAGCACACTCTGCAAACGGCGGGGGCGTGTGGCGAGGGACGGCCGGGAGGAGGCGGCGGATCATCGGCCGTGGCCGTCGAAAGCTGCGAATTTGGCGCTTGCCCAAATACGTACGTACGTAGTCTTTGGGCCGCATCATGCATGTCTTGTCCTCCGGTGTGCGTGCGTGGGCGCTGATGGCCATGGCGCTCGCTCCAACAATCCAACGGAGTTAATTACACGATAGTACCACAATTGGGGCCGTGATGGCGAATTGATACCAGTTTTGAAAATTTTTACGTGTCAGTACCACGTTTGGACCGAACCGTTGCAAATCGGGCTAAACTTCGTATTTGTACGTATTGACGCTGGAACTGACCGCCCGGGCCCGCGCATCAGATGCCACGCTGGCGAATCGACACGCGCCCGCTCGCTCAATAGGTGCGGTCCGGCTCGAACCGGACTGGCCCGTGCTCCACTCTGTTCCTCCTCGCCGTCTCTGTTCGTCGACGAACCCTAGCTCCCCTGCGCGTACGGCGATGGCGGCGGCGCCCCCGGGCGGTGGTGGCGGCAGCGGCGGTGGCGGCGACGGCGATGGCGGCGGCGCAAACCTTCCCCTCTTCGGCATCGGCGCGGTAGGAGGAATCGAGGGGAGATCTCCAATCGAGGGCGGCGATGGCTACTCGAGCTCTGAGTACTCCAGCGGCGACGACGAGTTCATTGAGCCCGCACTGTCCATGGAGCAGCGGGTACGGCTGGCAAAGCAATGGGTGGCGAACCCTAGCAATAGCCATGAGCTGACCCACGGGCTCGGCGGCGTCCTGTAAGTTTCTGTTTCTGTCTCTTTTTTTTCTTCTCATTTATTTGCTAATTAGGGTTATAGTGTACTGATTAGGCAAATTGCATGTGAATTGTAGTTTATATGAAGACATATGGAATGTTAGGATCCATTTTGACAATAATGATCTGTTAGAGAGGAAATTAAGCTGTTCAGATGTGACATATCTAAATATGGTTGCATTGATGGAAACCCAAGGCTTTAGTATTGATGATTCACTGATGTTTTACATGGAGACCCCAGGAGAGCGGGGCTTGGAATTGGTTGATAGTAATGTTAAACTACAGTTGATCAAGAGGCAGAATGAGGAGAGTTTGGTGCTTAATTTGCTATTTAGGGCTTGTCCACCAGCTGTCAGTGTACCACAGAAGGGTTTTGTACAAAAGCAAAATTTAGATATAACTGAATATTCTGAGCCTGTTGTTTTTGATCTTGCCGATCCTCCTGTTTATGTTGTTGATCAGCAAGGTGTTGCTTATGAAGGTCAGAGTAGCAGTTATATTGCAGCTGTAGGCCCTGCTGTTTTAACACAAGAGAGCAGGAGTGTTCTAAATCCCAAGTTAAAAGAAGTTGTGGAAGAAGAACAAGTTGGCTATGATGGCAGTTATGCATGTTCATCTGAAGGATCTGAAGGGCAGTATGATAGTGACATGGGAGATTTAAGGCCTAACTATAATGAGGAAATGCATGATGCTGAAGACATGGAGATGGAAGAGGGAAATAGACAGAGAGAGGAAGAAGTACAAGAGCAACATGAGGAAGAAACAGAGGATGAAGAATCAGAAGAAGAATTAGAGGATGAAGAACAAGTGCATTATGAGGGTGACACAGAGGTAGAGGAATTATTTGAGTTGGAGGATGATGACCCTATTGTTCCAGAAGAGGAGGAAAAAACATATGTGCCAGCAAAGAAGAAGCAGAAGTTGCAAGTAAGGAGGGGACCAACAACAAGGTCACATTCCAGTGTTTTAGAAGAAGTGCAACCTGATTGGAAACCATCATCAGATGAAGAAGATGATAGTTTATTGAAGGACAGTGAAGATGATGGGTTTGAGCCACTAGCATTTGTGCTACCTCAAAAAAGGAAGAGTAGGGCAAAGAAGAGGCCAGCTAGAGTATGGTACAATGAGGATTTGGAACAACCACACCAACAACTAAAACTGCATATGTGCTTCAAAGATCAACATCAATTCAGAGATGCTCTGTTGAGCTTGCACATCACTCAGTGCAGAGACTTCAAGTATCACAGGAACTCAGATCAGAGGATCATTGTGCATTGCAAGAATGAACATTGTAAGTTCTGCATTGTGGCAGCTGTTATAAAAGGGGAAAACACTTTTGTAATTAAGAAGATGAGGATACAACATACCTGCCCTAGTTCTACTGAAACAAGCAGGGTAAGTGCAAAGTGGCTTGCAAAGCAATATGAGCCACTATTCAGATCTGATGTCAGTACTAGCATACATACACTTATTGATGCCTGCATGAAAAAGTATGGTGTGGATGTGCCCAAGGCTATGGCATATAGGGCAAAAAACTTAGCTGTTGAGGCTGTGTTGGGAGATCATAGGAAGCAATACCCAAGGCTGAGAGACTATGCTCAAACTGTGATGGATACAAACCCTGGGAGTAGAGTTATAGTCACCACTGTAACTCCAAAAGCCACTGAAAAAATCCCACATCCAGGACCAAGATTCCATGCCATGTTTTACTGCATCAATGGAGCAAGGGAGGGATTTCTACAGGGCTGTAGACCATTCATTGGTTAGTTCATTTTAGCTTGTACACTACTTTGATGTTGTTAGTTTCAATAGGTTGCACATATAAATGCATTTGACATGTTATGTTTACTTCCTGTTTTAGGTATTGATGGATGTTTTATCAAGCTGACCACTGGTGCACAAATCCTTGCTGCCACTGGTAGAGATGGCAATAACAACATATACCCACTGGCATTTGGCATTGTTGGACAAGAGGACAAAGCAAACTGGTGCTGGTTTCTACACCAACTGAAGATTTGTCTTGGAGGAGAAGTTGGACAGTATGGTCCATATACTATAATGTCAGACAGACAGAAGGTATGTTTATCCACCTTGCTTTGCCTGCTAAATATGTGTTTACATGTGTATTAGACAGTAGCTTAGCTGTTTAAATTGTGTGCACCAGGGGCTATTATATGCAGTGAATAGAGTTTTTCCTAACAGTCATCAAAGATTCTGCTTAAGACACATATATGCAAACTTCCAGAATGCTGGCTTTAGGGGGGAGGACCTTAAGAAGTGCATGGATAATGCCAGTTATGCATATAATGAACACAAATTTAATAAAGCAATGGATGATCTCAAAGCTGAGAGTGTGGAAGCTTGGCAGTGGCTTAGTGCAATACCCAAGGAAACATGGGCTAGGCATGCATTTGACACAAATAGCAAGACTGACTTGGTTGTCAACAATTTGTCAGAGGTGTTTAACAAGTACATCCTAGATCATAGGAAAAAACCAATAAGAACTATGTGTGATGGCATAAAGGATAAGCAGATGGTTAGGTGGCACA